TCTCTCTCTCTCTCTCTCTCTCTCTCTCTCTCTCTCTCTCTCTCTCTCTCTCTCTCTCTCTCTCTCTCTCTCTCTCTCTCTCTCTCTCACTCATGCGCCTCCTCCCGCGCTTACTCCCTCTCTTCGCCATATATATTGTGCAGGAGGGAGGAGGTTCCATCTTGAGCGCGAGTAGCGGACTTGCTGCAGTTGAGTGCTTTTACTTGCTCAATCTCTTTGCACGGACGGGAGAGAGAGAGAGAGAGAGAGAGAGAGAGAGAGAGAGAGACCATAGAAGCCAGAGAGAAAGAGAGCTACCGTAGCCGAGAGAAAGAGAGAGGGAGAGAGAGAGAGAGAGAGACCATAGTCGAGAGAGAGGGAGAAAAACGGCGTTTTGAGGAGTAGACGAGGAGATCGGATCGACATCGAGAAAGGCGGCGTTTTTCGTTTTGAGGAGCAGAGGAAGCGAGGGATCAACATGGCTTCTGCCGGTAAGTAGGTGGATTGTTTCTTCTTCTTCTTCTTCTTCTTCTTCGGATCCCTGACCAGATTCGTTAGGGTGGTGGGTGGTCCCTGGGGATCTCTGATCCCACAGGTCTACCCTCACCAACAGTGGTAGATCAGGTAGCACGAGGGTGTGCTCAGTCACCGAATTTTTTGGCTCACCGAATTGGAAGGGCATGGGCTGTATGGGGTATATTGTGCAGTAGGGGTTAGCTGCTCCGGATGGTTTTGTACCCTGCTTTCCAAAAAATAAAATAAAAAACCTTTTTTTTTTGGGCACCAGGACCAGGGATCTGGAACTGGGTTCTAACTGATCACTTGGCGGGTAGGATCGGACGGCACCAGGTAGTGGGAATATGGGCACGGTACTGGTTAGTTTCTGGACCCGTACGATCGTCTGACGGATGGATGCACACCTTTTCGTTTATTTGATTTTTTGGAATTTTTAGGCGCTTGCTCTGCGTACGGTGCCTTACTGTGTGCACATATATTCCCGTTCACCGGTTAGTATTCTTCCTTTTGCTTCTAGTGTGGATCGGAGCTCTGCCGGTTCTGCGTCTGGYGCGATACCRTGTCCTCGTATGATGGATGCTCTCGGACGTAATGTGATGGATGACGTTATCGGCCATGTGTGCTGTAGGTGTGACGGGATGGGAAGGATGGGKTGTGCGRGYAGGAGAAAGGATGGAGGGAAGCGAGGAGGTTTTTTKATTGCTGTAGTCACGTGCTATAAGTACTTGMGGGAGCTAGTCTCCTTCTTATCTTATGAGCGGTGGTAGTTCCTCCTGATGAGACTTGTGTACGCGCAAGTCGAAACGCGTCGAGGGAATGCGTACGTTATTTTGGCGGTGTTTGGCGAAAGGAAACTGGTTTATATGCAAATTTGGCTTTTTCCTTGAGTCCTCCGTGTAAACATGATTCTATCTGTTATGTTGTACCTGTGAATTCGGGTTAGCGTGACAACCAACGTGCCTTGTGCTGGTAGAGTGGTCACGTAAATTCTAGGGGTGGTGATAGAGAGGTGGTAGGCAGAGGAGTGATTCGGTTGTGGGAGTGATGGGGATATCGCGGGGATTGAGACTGTGCAGACGCACTGCTCACGATCTGCGTGGGTTGAGGAATTTCCGTCGCACTTTACGGATGATGGCTGAATGCACGGTCTTTCGCATGACGATTCCTGACAKAAGTTCTACGAGGATAAGGGCAAATGTGCTGGAATGCATCGAGCGAAGTGAGAGATTGCTCACGACGCTCTATAACGTTATATTGGTGCCGATGATGAAGTATGCTAGGCGTGGACCTATACTATATAAGAAGAAGATTGTTCCACAGTTACACAGAGCACTGTATGAGTTCTATCGGATTTGTACGGTTATTAGGCGTGCGATTTGGGTCTTGCAACGCGCTTCTTGACCATGATGAATATGGTGGGAAACGGTGGTATGGGTGTGAACACCGCGAACATGGGTGCGATGAATATGGGCGGTGTGATGGGCGTTGGCGGGCAAGGTATGGGCATCGGGGGACAGAATATGGGCACTGGTGGGCAGCATATGGTTATGGGGGGCCAGAGTAATGGTACGGGCGGCCATGGTATGGGTTTTTCCGGAGGAGCATCTGCGGCTTCCTTTGGGACCGTAACCTGTTTCATATGCGGAAAAACGGGACACTATTCCCGTAACTGCTGACAAGCGGCCGACAAACAACGGACGGAAGAAGATCCTGATATGAAGGAACTCCTTCGTAAGATCGCAAAACGAGAGAAGGACGAGGAGGAGCGGAAGTTGCGAGAAGCGGAGGAGGAGAAGAAGAAACAGGAGCAGGAGAGACGGGAAGGCGATAAGCTACGGGAGGCGGAGGCCAAGGAAGCCCAGATTGAAGCTATGATCGTGCGTATACTGTCACAACGAAAGGAACCACTGATGATAACTTCGCCACAACAACCAGCACCCGAGAGTAGGAAGCGATCACCGCGAACTAAGGCTCGGATGTTGCGCGAGATACGAAGTTACATCGCGGAGTCCGATGATGACAGTGAGGAGGTGAAGGAGGAGGCTGATAAGTTGATAGAGGCGCTCGAAGGTAGGAAGAAAGGCAGGAAGAGTGCAGTCGTTCTGCGCGCAGCTACTAGCCGGATCACACGCACTCCAAGGAAAGTTTGCTCTGCTTCGGGCTCGTACAAGGGATTGGTGGACTACGCTCTTACACAGGCAAGGACCCTCAGTGATTTGAAGGCTCCGGATCTGAAGAAGATCTGCAATAGAGAAGGTATAGATTACGTTGTGAAAGACCAAGCTATTGACGACATAGCTTGATGTGGGACCAGACTTGCCTATGAAGGCTTTTTCGACACGTCCAACTACTGGTGGGGAAGGTGCGAACATGTTCGAGACACCTACGAAAGTTTGCTCTGCTTCGGGCTCGTACAAGGGCTGTCTCTTATACACATCTAGATGTGTATAAGAGACAGATTGACGACATAGCTTGATGTGGGACCAGACTTGCCTATGAAGGCTTTTTCGACACGTCCAACTACTGGTGGGGAAGGTGCGAACATGTTCGAGACACCTACGAAAGTTTGCTCTGCTTCGGGCTCGTACAAGGGATTGGTGGACTACGCTCTTACACAGGCAAGGACCCTCAGTGATTTGAAGGCTCCGGATCTGAAGAAGATCTGCGATAGAGAAGGTATAGATTACGTTGTGAAAGACCAAGCTATTGACGACATAGCTTGATGTGGGACCAGACTTGCCTATGAAGGCTTTTTCGAGAAGGAGCCTTGCAGCATGCCAGATGCGGATATTAACGGACGGTAATCTGCGCGTTTGTTTTTTTTCGCGTTTTTACAACTTTTGCGTGTATTTTACCGTTTTTCGGTTCTCCATGATCGTGATAGGTCCGTTTTGTGCCCGGTATCAATGCTCCGGATCTGATCAATATTGTGGACCCTTTTTTTCTCAATTGGCTTTGGTTTTCTTTCCGTTTTTGCTATGATCTTTCAACTTCTTGTACGGTGATCTGCCTTTTTGAGGACGTCTCTGTGCGCTATCATGTTGACACTAGAGGCGTTCGGTCGCCTTTGTGATCTGATCAATAGGAGGAAGTACCCTGAAGCAACGGGTGTGCAACCAATGCTAGTTAGGATCGAAAAAAATGAGATCGCATTGCTATTCTTGCTTTTGGCAGTACGTGGGTTCATTCCGTGGGTTAGAAAATTATTGAGGTATGTTGATCTTGAAGGTATTGATGTTAACCGTTCTGGTGTGTATGCAATCATCAGACCCGTGTGCAGGAAATTTTATATTGGTTGCACCATTAGGAAGATAATAACGAGGTGGGTTGAACATATTAGATGTTGTAAGACTAGATGTGGCGGGAATGCACCGAAATTGAACTCATGGCTGAAATCTTTCGGTTGGCATACCTACATAATTCTTCCGCTGGTGACTGATGTGCAAGACACTGGGACGGTAGAAAAAGCATTGATACGGAGGTTTTCACCATCACTCAATGTGGTGGGTCGAGTGGAGGGTAAGACTAGGAAACGAAAAGGGAGGAGGCCCCGACAAAGGATGTATGCGGGCGATGGGGGATTGCTCACTGTCACGTATGACGGAAAAGTGTTTTCTTCGTTGCTTAGTCTCCTGGACGACATGTCCTCTACTAAAGGTGAGATTAGTCTGACTACACGCGCAGGTATAATATGGATAGATTCTTGGAAGAAAGTTATGGAGAATCTGTTATCGTGATTGGATCAGATAAGGTAAAACTCGAAGATGCGCGTGGCGCTTTAGAGTTGGGTTGTTCCTTCCGAATCATGAGGATAGTTGTAACTGCAACTAGAGTGCAGCAAAACAAGCGTTACTTACGTAACTTGTTGGCGGAACCCTGGCGAATGCGGCAACTGTATAGGCTGTCGAGTGCGAGAATGGTAGCACTCTATCGGACAACCGCTCTCTTCTCACGTAGCTCGACCCATAGTTCGATCCGAACGAAAGTATCACGTGTCATACGTATGGTTTATGGCACGGATGTGAGGAGGCGAGTGATTTTGAAGGTTCCGTACTCATCTGAGATCGTTATGAGTTCTGTCCGTACCGTTATGGCGAAGGTGATTTCTTTATCAGTGAAGGACCACGCTATCCGATCGCTTGTTGTTGAAAGGATGAGGGTAGTGAAGCTGAAATCCAGGACGGTGGGTGATGTTATCCATAACTATAGGAAGGTCTTGGATAGGAGGCAAGATGCCTGCAGTTGTGGGGATTTTGCGCTTACCCGGCATCAGGGACATGTACGGGTTCGTCTGGACGAGGTCCAAGGCTTACACCGCTTCCCGCACAATTCCAAGAATGTGACTAAGGGAAGGACTCTGTCAAAGGCTCAGTTGGGTGGAATCATCATCCGTTGCATCCCCAGGAGATGAAGGGATAGCTTGTTACAACTCTCGAGTGAAGACTTCAAAGGCTGCTACAAGATCAGCGGTGCTCATGGGTTGGCGTTGACAGAACAGCAGGTTCAGATGGAGGTTAGTTACTTGCGCTCGTTGATTCTTGTCCCGATGGACAGGAATCCCGGTGCGACACTGGCAATCTGTCCGCTACTTTATTTTCACGCTTTTCGCATGACGTTTTGCTGGAATGCTGGCTTTTTCAGGATGACTGAGACCGAGGCACAGGTTCTCTCTGTTGCCAAGAAGAACTATGCGAACGCAAGCCTTCACATTGTGGCCACGTGGCGTACTTGTGGTGGGATAGGCAAGGCCTATGTCATCCCGAAGGATAACGATCTGAACATGTGGCGACCGATATCACCATCATGGTCTGAGCCGTCGCGAACGGCGAGCATGAGGTTGGGGCGAGCTCTGCGATACATGCTCAGATGCCTGCCGGAAAGCTGTCACTTTAGTCTGCGATCCACGGACGACTTGAAGCATAATATGGAAAGTTCCGTCCGGAAGCTAGGAAGGATCAATGATACGGTAATTGGAATGAGCTTTGATATCAAGGATATGTTTGCCAAGTTGCCCCACTATGACATTGTGTCTTCTGTCGCCTGGTTGGTAGACTATCATCAGAGGCGTGGGCTCATTGCAGTTAAGCTGAGAGTGAGAGGTAAAGTGTGTCGGATGGCGAGGAGCCTCCGTAAGGAGGATGGCTATGTCTGTATCCGGTTTGAGCAGCTGAGTATGATACTGCAACATGAATTGGGGCACACTTACACAGTCTGTGACGGGGGGGAATTATATCGACAGACCTTCGGCATCCCTATGGAGAAGCATTCATCACCGACATTGGCAGATGTGCTGTGTGCGAAAGCCGAGTTCGACTTTCTCGCAGCACTTTGTACTGACCAACGCCTTGTTTCGGGTGTGAGAATGGTGGATGATGTGTCACTATTGGTCTGCTTCACGGCTGACGTACCAGGAAGTTACTTGAAGACTCTGAACATTGTTGACTCCTTCAAGAGCTGCTATCCGCCGTCCCTTAAGTTGGTAAAGAAGGATTGCAGCGGGCCTTCATCTGGGCCAGGGCCTATTTGGCTATTTGCCAGTTCGGCCTGTGGGACCAGGCCGTGGCCTGACCCCACAGGCTGTGTGGTTATTCAGTCCAGTCCAGTCCTGCCCGGTACCACTGTCGATACCAGGCCTGTCCAGTCCAGTCCAGTCAGTCCGTTGAGGGTATACCCCAACTGCAGTTTGTTTTGTGACTCATTCTTCATTTGCACAGATTGGAGTACGTGCGTGTTGAGTCTGCGTTAGAGCTGCGCTGTCCCTTCCATCTCCATCTCCATCCCCATCTCCCCCATCCTCATCCCGTCGTCTTGATCCTGACGGACTGCCATCCCGGCGGGTCCGTCACACTGGTATCAGACCAGGCTTTCCTCCCTGCTCCTCTCCCCCACCCACCCCACCTATCAGTTGCCACGCGGCTTGAGCAAAAAAA